TGTGTGTGTGTGTGTGTGTGTGTGTGTGTGTGTGTGTGTTTAATTAAATTGCTCTTTGTATATTATTTTTGTTTGGAAACCATCTCTCCCTGACAGCGGAAAATAGGAGAGATTTTATTTTGCTCTCTTTCCAGGTTTTCTTTGTTCCACCAATCTTCCTGATCACAATCTGTTAGTCTCTGTGGTTATATATCAGACCAGTAGAAGTAAATTTCCTGTTTTGACAACTACTGTAGAAAGCTTGGTGGTCACCACTTGTTCCTCTGGGTACCTTTATTCCCCGCCCCCACCCCCCCCTGCTTTCTGCTAAGAGCAATGATTCATAGAGCTTGACTTATTCCTCACCCCTTACTGCTTACCCCAGGATGGTTTCCTTTTTTTGTTTTTCTGGAAATCAGTCAATTCTTGTCTTCCCTTTTCTTGTCTTTCCTTATTTACTTACTTGACGTGTATTTGACATATAGCATTATATCAGTTTCAGGTGTACAATGTAATGATACAAAGTTTGAATAGTATATTGCGAAGTGATTATAATAAGTGTAGTTAACATACGTCACCTTATGTAGTTACCAAAAAACTTTTTTTCTTGTGATGAGAACTTTTAAGATCTACTCTTAGCAACTCTCAAATATGCAATACAGCATTATTAGCTTTAGACACCATGCTGTACATTACATCTCTGTGACTTATAACAAAGTTTGTACCTTTTGACTCCCTTCACCCATTCTTCCAATTTCCTACCCCCAGCTCTGGCAACCGAGCTTGGTGTGTGTGTGTGTGTGTGTGTGTGTGTAACATTTACACATACAAGTGAGATCATCTGGTATTTGTCTTTCTTTGTCTGACTTATTTAGCATAATGCCCTTCAAGTCCATCCATACTATGGCAAACGGCCAGATTTCTTTCTTTCTTTCTCTCTCTCTCTCTCTTTTTTTTTTTTTTTTGCTGAGTAATATTCCATTCTGTACATATACCACATTTTCTTTATCCATTCATCCACTGATGGACACTTAGGTTGTTTCTATATCTTGAGGATTTTAACGCTGTAATGAACATGGGGGCATATAGATCTTTTCCACTTAGTGTTTCGGTTTTCTTTGGATAAATGCACTCCAGTGGAATTGCTAGATCTTATGGTAGTTCTATTTTTCAGTTCTTAAGGACAGTTTTTTCCTTTTGACTGCTTTTGTACAGGGCCAAGTAAGTGCTTTGTTTTAAGTTATGAATAATCTAAGTTAAAGCATGGGGTTTCAGATAGGTTTTCTCTTAGATGTAAATTCTCATCAGCTGGTTAAGGCAGCTCAGGGAGTTGTGCAGACAGCGTTATAAGATCATGTTTTGAGCTGTGGGAGAAAGAAGGCCATATTTGATTATTATCATTGTTATCTTTCGTGTTTTATTATTATCAGCCATAAACCCAGCATGGTGATGTGCTGGCATGCCAGGCAGATTTCTGGTATTTCTATTCTAGACTATTACAAGGAAGGAAATCACAGGGACATAGAATATATGTTGAGAGCAGATTCAGAAATGTTGGGTTTTCTTGTTTTGTTTACTTTCATTCTAGTCTATGTCAGAATAGATGATTTTTTCTTTTTTAATTTTTTAAAGTTTATTTATTTATTTTGAGAGAGAGATAGCATGCAAGCAGGGGAGGGGCAGACAGAATCCCAAGCAGGCTCCATGCTATCAGTACAGAGCCTGACATGGGGCTTGAACTCTGGAAATTGTAAGATCATGACCTGAGCTAAAACCAAAAGTTGGATGGATGCTTGACCAACTGAGCCACCCAGACACCCCCAGAATAGATTATTCTTGATCTAGAATTCTTTTTATAGACTGCTAGTCTAAATAGTCTTCATCATAAAACACATTTTTTAAACATTTTTTTTCTAAATTTGTGAGTATTTTTTTTCCTCCTGCCCCTAGAACCTTGTTTCTTTTAGGCATCAGAACTCAAACCATCTAATCCAAACTGAGACAGCCTTCCTCTTTGATTACAGTCAGTTCCCTCCTGTAGATGTCAGTGTGCTATAGTTAGGTACAGGAATGCTTCGGTGCACCGCCAGGGCGGTATGTGCGTTTATTCCTCCCTGATCATTTCCACTGTCCCATTGTATGACTTGTCCTTGTCTCCTCGGCATCTGTGCAGGCATCTTTCTCTGTGTCTTCCAAGCTTTGAGTCTCGCTGTTGTAGAAGCTTTTATGATCTGTGGTTCACTGGATTCACAGAATTAATCGTTTGGATTTGCTCAGCTTTCAAAGCATGAAGTTGGTTTAGTTCCTAGATCCGGTAAAGTCTTCCTGTGGATCATTGTGGAGTTTCAGCTGTTCCTTCTGAGCCCAGGGGTCTTACTCAGTGATTTTCTTGTAGACCTTGGGAGCTCTTACTTGGTATTTTCTGGAACTCCAAGATAATGTATGGAAAAAATGTAAAGGCCTACTGTGTTTTAAAATGTATTGTTTTTTTACATCCACAAACATCCCTCCTCTCCCCACCACCCCTCCAAAAAAACAACCCTTGTGAAGTAGATATGTCCATTTTGCTGATGAAGACATCTGATTCCAGAGGTTAAGTGATTTGCCACAGTCACACAGGTGACTGGTGGAACTAAGATTTAAAGCTTAGAGTCAAGGACTCCGGTGCTTTTTCCCTTCACCAGGCTCTTTGAACAAGCGTCAGTCATCTGGAAAAGGTGTAGTGGCTGCTAATCCCTCTTGTACTCAGTTGTAGTTTTATGGTCCTCAGTCTTTTTTTTTATGTTTTATTTATTTTCGAGAGTGAGCATGAGTGGTGAGGGCAGAGGGGGGGGGACAGAGGATCTGAAGTGGGCTCTGTGCTGACAGCAGCAAGCCCACTGTGGCATTGAACCCACAAACCGTGGGAACCATGACCTGACCCTAAGTTGGATGCTCAACTGGCTGAGCTACTCAG